TTCGGTTCATAACAACCCCGATACCCACATTTGGACCGTCTCCTTACCCGGATTCTTTATCGGTCCATCCCTTACTTTCAGCCGGCAACCCGGAAGGGTCGGTCTGCCCAAGTAGTAGAATTGTGGGCTTTTTGGGTACACACTCGGTGATTTTTGGTTAACTCTTGTCTATTTCTATAGTTTTTAAGGTTTTTACATTATTCCTGGTAACTTTATATAAACATATATATAATTCGTTTTTTAACCAAAATTCACCAAATTTAACCAAATATTTGCTATCATATTTGATTACTAAAACGTTTTCTGATACGGAGAAGCATGGCGACGCAGTTGCGAAGCGAAGCAGAGCATTAGATATCTGTTTAGTTCACAATTAGCTTTCTAATACTAAAAAGCATAGCGATGCAGTTGCAGAGCGAAGCAGAGCATAGTTATCTATTTGGTTAGTATTTAGCTTTCTATTTAGTAATAGGTTTGTGGCACTTTTTTTAGAACAATTTTGGTTAAATTTCGGAAAACTCTATTCATTCCTCTATAGTTTCCGATTTTTTACTATATTCCTGGTAAACTTATATAACTCATATGAATAGTGTATTTTTTCGATAAAAAAGATAGATAAAATTTTAGGTACACACTTGGTTAAATTTTTCGTTATCTCTAATTATTTCTAAAGATTTAAGCTTTTTATCTTATTCCTGATAGCTTTCTATTACTGTAAGTATAGCGTAACGTAGCAGAGCATAGTTTCTATTTAGTTAGCATACAAATAGTAAAAAAGAAATAGACTACGTCATAGGTACACTAATTAAACCAAAAATTCTGATATAATTTTCTATGCTTGGTATGAGCTCTGCTCTAAAGCTTTTTCACGAAGCCTTTGATAATATGACGCAACATAATATCCTCTTTTATGAATTTTACATCGTCCACAAGCAGAAGCAGTTGGTTTTCCACAATTACTACAAAGTACACGTTTTTTTGACTTATAATGAAGACGGCATTCCTCAGGACGTGTACACAAGGCACTACAAATTTTACCAGAATTATGTATATATTGGCAGGTATATTCACCGATCATATTTGATTAGGATAAATAAATAATTAAAGAAAAGATTTTTATAAAGTAATATATAATACTTTTTATACACGATAGTTAAAAATACTACTTGTGATAGATGTAGTCTAAAACTTTCCACTTATCAGAAATATCAACAACATTTAAATCGACAAAATCCTTGCCGCCCTAAGAATCTTCCTCAAGCTCCAATTCCAGTGCAAAATGCAAGAAACGTTACCCCAGAGCAAAATCTGCCACCAGCCCCCGAAAGCGATCTCATATCATTCGATGAAAACCCACCAATGCTTCAGCCAACCCAGCCGAGAGAGGCAGTCGACCTTTTAACTAGTGATATTCCAAATACAGAAGCAAGACCAAGCTCAAGAATTCAACCTAATAAAGAAGAAAAAAGAAGTCAATTTTTAACTATAGATGATTTAATAAAATGGATATCAAAACTGAAAAATAAGAACAATAAAAAGCTTAGATCAAAGCCAATTCCTAAAACTAACGAAGAATGGTACGATTTAATAGAAATAGATAATGAAAAAGATAGCAAACCAAGTGATGATGTGGAACATCTAAGCTCTGCTTCTTCAGAATATGATACCGCTGAAGAAGATCCTGATGTTTATTTCGAAAAAATCAACGATCCATACATTAATAGAATAACAGAAACTGAAAAATTTAATGAAAGTGAAGTATGTGATTATTATGCTTTTGTTCCAAAAGAATATTATGCTGAAGGTGAGCCTTTAGCCTTCTTTGAATCAATCGAAGAAAAAATAGAGAATATATACAAAAAAGAATTAACTTTAAAGGGAGGGTTAAAAGTAAGAATCGTGTTATATGCATATATGAAGAAAATAGAGCCAGAAACCCAAGAACCTAAATATAAAACTTTTCCGTTCAAACATGAAACTATAGAAATTATTAGAGAAGATCGAATTAACGCAACTATAGAAAAAGGATATAACGAAATTATAGACCAGATTGAGGATGAAGCAATACAAGAATCAGGATGGTCTTTTGTTCGAGCAGAAGAGGTATTTCTCGAAATAAGCGCATTCAGACCTTTGCGTGGTAGTAGCTATTTATCTTTACCAGAAGCTTTGGATAAACCTCAACTAGGATTAATTAATCCTCAAAATAGAGACGATAATGAATGTTTCAAATGGTGTATAAGTGCATATCATATAAGAGAAGAAGCAATAAAAAATAATAGAAAGCCACCACATCTTAATGAAATCCGTAGACTTAGACGAAATGCAAATATAGCAAATTATGAAGGCATAAAATTTCCAGCAACATTACACGATATTGATAAATTCGAAGAAATTAACCCTAACTATGCTATTAATATATTTAGACCAGTTTATAGTGAAGCTTTTGGAAAAATAAAAGTAGATATAGACCCATTACATATTTCAGAACGAAATTATCAGGTCGAACATATGATAGATTTATTATATTTAACAGAAAGTGAGGAGAATTTAAATGATCGAAAAAATCCTAATGATATACCTGAAGGACTTAAAACACATTATATTCTTATAACAGATTTTACTCGATTGATGCATAAATGGAATAATCATCATGATAAAAAATACTTTTGCCGAAAATGCTTACGATTTCCTTATAGTCGACTAGATTTATTAGAAAAGCATATTCCAACATGTACAGGAGCAAGTAAAGCGCCACAACGATTAATCCTTCCTGAAGAGGGTAAGAATTATGTAAAACCCAAGTATATCAAAAATATGTTAATGAAGCCTTATTTAATTAGTATGGATTTAGAAGCAGAAGAAGTCAAAGTAGAGGAAAAAGATAAAGAAGGAAATACTATAAAAATAGCGGAGCAAAAAGCAGTTTCATATGGATATACAATACATTGTTCAGATGGAACAACACAAAAGCCAGTAATTAATCGAGAGTCAGAAAATATAATAAAAGACTTAATGGAAAATCTTCAAGAAGATCTAGATGTTATTTTAGATAAGCTTCGTATTCCAATTCCATGTGAAAAAATGATGCCTGAATTATGGCGAAAATATCAAATGGCAAGTAAATGTTGGGGATGTGAAGAAAATTTACATGAAGCTGGATATAATAAAATTCGTGTATTTGATCCTGAAACTAAAAAATACTTGGGTGCTTCACATAGAAAATGTCATGGAAAAAGATCAATGATTAAAGGTAAGTTAGATGACGAACAAAAGAAAATGCATGATGCATATAAAAAATGTATGTATTGTAAAACACAATTACCAGATGAGGGAAAAAATCGAGTAATAGATCATGATCATATTACAGGAAAATTTCGCGGAGCAATGCATAGTAGTTGTAATCTCAAGTTACGAATCGATCCAGAAACAATAAAAATTCCAGTATTATTATGTAATGGAAGTGGCTACGATTTTCATCATCTAATGCAAGAAATAGCAAAAGTGACAGATGAAAAAATAGTGCCTATAGCAAATAATTCTGAGCAGTATATTACTTTCTTAGTTGGTCAGCTTCAATTTATTGATAGTTTAAAATTTTCGTTACCTGGTTTAGCTAAGATGGCAGAAAATTTACGTGACGAAAAGAAGGGCCAAACTAAAACACCAGAACAACTAGCCAAATGTTTTCCAATTATGTCAAAATTTATCTCACCTAATTTGTTATCATTGCTTACGCGTAAAGGAATTTTTCCATATCAATGGTTAAATAGCAAAACAAAATTTAATGAAACACAACTACCTTCACGTAAGGATTTTAATAGCGATTTAGATGGATATAATTATTGCGAGCATGGGTGTGAAAACAAAGAATGTAAACATGAGAAAATTTATACTATATCTCAAAAGGATTATGACTTTGCCTGGACAGTTTGGTGAGAAACGGGATGCAAGACTTTTGGAGATTATCACGATATTTATCTTAAGACTGATGTATTGATTTTAGCAGATGCATTCGAGGTTTTCCGAAAAGCTTCATATTCAGCATTCAAGCTTGATCCAGCAAATTATTTAACGGCACCAGGTCTAGCATGAGATGCATGTATGAAGGTAACTAAAATTAAGCTAGAATTATTTCACGAACATCAAGGAGATATGCATGATTTCTTTACAGCTATGAAGAGAGGAGGAATGTCTTTGGCTAGACGACGTTTAGCTAGAGCAAATATCCCAGGGTTAGAGGGGTATAATGGAAAAAAAGCGAAAAAATGGTTACTCTACTTAGACGCCAATAATCTATATGGTTGGGCAATGTTACAATATTTACCAACCGGAGGATTTAAATGGCTATCAACAAAACCCCTCGAAGCTACTTCTCTATTAGTGCAGAAAATTTTATTATTAAAAGAAAAATCAAATCGAGGATGTTGCTTAGAAGTAAAGTTATTGATTCCAAAAGAATTGCATCCCAAATTTCGAGATTATCCTATATGTCCAGAACGAATGAAAGTACCATATGATTGGTATGGATCAAAGCAAAAAGAATGGATAGGAAATTAACGTCCTGATACAGAAAAACTTATACTAACTCTACATGATAAAGACCATTACGTTATTCATTATAGAAATCTACAGCAATGTGTAAGAGAGGGGTATATTCTCGAAAAAGTATATCGAATTCTAGAATTTGATCAATCTCCATGGATGGAGCCATATATTGCAATGAATACCCAGCGACGAGCAAAAGCAAAGAATGCATTCGAAAAAGACTTCTGGAAATTAATGAATAATTCAGTATTCGGAAAAACTATGGAAGATGTAAGAAAACGAGTGAATATAGATTTAGTAAGACAGGTAGGAGAAGAACGACGATTACGAAGACTAATTTCAGATCCTGCCTTTGTTAGTCGGAAGATTTTCTATGGAGCTAATCTAGTAGCTGTACATCGAAGACAGACTAATGTAAAGTTAAATAAACCTGAATATGTAGGAGCATGTATTCTCGATCTTTCTAAATATTATATGTATGATTTCTGGTATAGATATCTCAAAAAGAAATATGGAGATCGAGTAAGGCTTTTATATACAGATACAGATTCTTTAATAATAGAAATTGAAACAGAAAATATCTATCAGGACATGATAGATGATTGTGATTTATTTGATTTTAGCGATTATCCTAAAGACCATTGGGTAGTAAAAAATTTACCTGAAGATCAATGGATACTTAATGATGAAGGTGAGCGTGTCTTAAAAAATACTAAAGTTATAGGTAAGTGGAAGGATGAGAATGGAGGAGATCGAGCTATTGGCTATGCAGGAGTTCGTGCGAAATGCTATAGTGTTGTGTGTGAAAATTCACGAAAAAATATGATCAAGGCTAAAGGTCTTAAAAAGTCTCTCATCAAGAAAGAGCTTTCACATAAAATATTCGAGGACTGTGTTTTAGAAGGAAAAGGGGATCAACCACGAACTGCTCAATTCCTCCGAAGTTACAGACATCGAATGTACAGAATAAAGCAAACGAAGAGAAGTGTTAACCCATTTGATTCAAAATTGTGGATAGCTCAAAATAATGAAACAACATATTTATTTGGGGATTGTGAAATTCCGGAAGAATAAACACCCAACTAAATCGTTATACTTAATGTAATAAATATATCTATTTTTTATGATCGATAATAAATAAATATAAAAATTAAATAAAAAGTCTTAGTTAATAAAATCCATGTGTTTGACCAGCGAAGATCGAGCGATCCCTCCCCATACTAATTAATTCGTGAATGAACAGATCGCCAAATCCGAAATTAGCTTAATAGAATCTGCAAATTAGGTTTGTTAGTCGTGAAG